GTCCTCTTATCAAATTCAACACTTTACCTTTTCATTGGCATCTCATCTTCATCGTCACTTGGAGGAAATTTTTCAATTGAGCATGTGGACTACCCTAATAATTTCATCTTTCATTATTTGCATAGGATTGTGGATTCTTCTTCTTTGGGCTATCATCTTCTGCTTGTAGCCATTCTTCAGATTTGGCTGGGTAAGTTATTTTTTATCATTATTTATTTCTCTTCAGGTTCCTTTTCCCTTTTTATTATTACTCATTGTTTGGATCCCACTCTGGATCAAATCTGCACTGTAAAGCCTTACATACTTCCATGGCCACACAATGCACACTGCAGAGATGGGGTGTTCCATAAGATTGCTTGTAGGTTTATCCTTGTGATGGAAATGCTTAATAAATTTGCCATCCTGGACTGTACTCACCCTTGAACTATATGGGTAAAGCAGAAGGCAATAGCTGCCCATCCCTGCCATGCCTTATATTGAATAAATCAGTATGGTTTCCTTTTAAAAAATAGGGTTCCAATTCCAAGCTGCTGGGAATTTCAATTTCTTATATTAACATGTGCCCTGTTTATGGGTCTGGAGGTTTTTGATTCCCTCCGGCCTCATGAAGTTGAGGTGAAGAAGGTGTGATTCTCTTTCCTAGCCTCACCAGATGGCTGGGTTTTGGATTGTAGTTAACTTGCTACCAGTATGATCCTTTTCCTACCCCCATATGGATGTCAGTTCCTGGTGGCCTGGGTTTTGAATTGTAGTTGACGTACCGATGGTATGACCCTCATTCTACCCCCATGTTGGATGTTGGTTCCCAGGGTATGAGTTTTGGATGTACAGTGGGCCCTCCTCCAACACGAGGGATACATTTGTTGAGGAAGCTGTGTGGGGCAAATCCATGTTGGAGAAACTCAGTACCTTACAGCATTAATAGGGATATGGTAACACAACCGTGTTAAGTCTCCGATAAATGCTTATATATGAATTTTTTTTAAAACATAAATGAAAAGCCCTACCTAAACAGTACAGTATATGAGCTAAAAATATGAAATCGTAAACATTATAACATTCACATGTTATATCCTGCGCCTGTAAATGAAAATATGTTAAAAGAAGTAATGCAGTACTGCAATTTATTGTAACACTCACCTATGAATGATGAAGACAAAGACCTTTCATTGATGAGAGGAAGACTTGCGAGGATGATGATAATATATTTGGAGGCTGAGAGGTTAGGAAAAGGCCGACGGATCATTGGAAAATTTGGCCTAAAACTCCAATGAAGCAGATGTAGAAGTTAATGGGATGAGGTCAGAAGGTGTTACATCGGCTGACTTGGGCTTCATAAAGTCAGTAATTCTCGGTTGTTTGACTTTCCTCCACAAATATTACAAGATTTGTCTGCATGGTGCTAGAATGTCATTAAACCCTCTTTTAAAGTTAATGGGGATCCATGTTTACAGCCATTTCTGCGAGCTCATCTGCCTTCCTTAGGAAATCGGACACAGCCTTCACTGTCATGATGGGTTTAGCAGGTTCTGTCTCTTCAGCATCTTCGTCACTATCACTGTTGCTGGAGGCTATCAGCCCTTTAATTTCTTCATTCTTTGGCTCTTGATAATGGGATTCCAGCAGCTCAACCTCTTCCTCATGCCTCATATTATCACCCCCCCCCCCCCCACCTCTGATTTCTTTAGTTAGTCTCATAATATTCGCAACTTCCTTCTCAACTGTCGGAAAGCCCTTGAAATCATTCACGACTTCAGGCCAAAGATGATGCCAGCATGCATTTATGGTAGACTCTTTCATCTCATCCCATGATATTTTGGTAATATCGATACAGTCCTTAACATTATAAGCTTTCAAAAACTTGTTTTAGTTTTCCAGTCACCGTAGCTTGCATTGCATGTCAGTAGACATTCTTTGTGTAATATGACTTGAATGTCTTTATCACTCCTTGGTCCATCAGTTGCAGGATGGATGTGGTATTGGGAGGTAAAAAATATTATCTTTACATTAGGATGCTGAATTGCAGTGTGTCAGGGTCATGGACAGGAGCATTATCCAAAACTAGAAGAACTTTAAAGTCGAGGTTCTTCTTCACCAGGTATTTCTCATGCACAAAATGATTTTGCAGCCAGTCGTTGAATAGCATTCTAGTTACCCAAGCATTTTTATCTGAACACCAGACAACAGACAAATATCACTTATTCTTGCCTTAAAAGGCAAAAATAAGTGATATTTGTCTGTTTGTGGAGCAATACACTAATATAGGCTTGCATTTAAAGTCACCTGATGCATTCCTGCAAAAAAGGCAAATTGAGCCTATCCTTAAAGGCCTTAAACCCGAATGTTACCTTCTGCTCCTTGGTGATGTATGTCCTGTTGCCCATCTTCTTATAAAAGAGCCCTGTCTCATCTGCATTAAACACCTGTTGAGGGGCATATCTATTTTCCTTAATGAATTCAAGGAACTATGGCTTGAACCATGCAGCTGCATCGCTGTCGGCTGACCCAGCTTCACATTGTGCAGGTTGAAGTGTTGCTTAAATTTGGCAAACCAGCCTTTACTTGCTAGCATCTGCAACACTTCCACCTTCCTTAAAGATTACATATTCATACAAACTACATGCTTTCTCTCTCAATAACAGAACCTTTTTTTGTTCCCTTGTACACTGGTCCACACATTCAATAATTTATCTATTTTTTTCGTGAACGGATTCCTCCTGGGCACTTGAAAAGCCTTAACACTTGCACAAAATTTCTCTTCGCTCCCCCTAATCATACATATGGAAGACTTATTCACACCATATTCCCAGCCTATGGATGTTACACTCATCCCGCTTTATAACTTATTAAGGATCTGAATTTACTAAGCTAATTTCATAACTTTGCAGCTTTTCTTTGCTTCACTAAGACTTGGAGATGCTTTACATTTACATTCCATACTGCTATCTAAGGGTAATTATGAAAAGTAGCAAAAATAAAGTGATTACATGGGACTGAACTTAGCCTGACCAATTAGACATGTGGTGGGGATGGAGTAAGACTCAGGAAGCTGGAGGTTGTTTATTTATATCCTTACAGGTATCCTTTACTGCCTACGTCACAGGATTTTTTTTGTCTTACATTTGAAATTTTTGTTAAACTACTTTTTGTTTATGTTATCCCAATTAGCATAGCATAAAATCTTAGCTAATACTCCATATTTTAATAGTATATAAGTTTTAAGTTCTTAATTCTATAAGGCAATATTTAATATAAACCTGAATTTCCCCTAGTGTTACACAAGTGACATATTTTCTCTAGATATCTTCTCTTTTCTATTTTATCCACACACCCCTCCCCAGTAATGATGAAATGAAACATAAAATACCCACTATAAATTTGTCTTTGCTCAGACAAACCATAATTTTTGTAGCCTTCAATTTTGTTTGGTTACAGAGCTATCAAATAGAAAATCAGATCCCTCCTGTCACATCCTCTCTTTCAGGATTTGTTAATATTTCTCTCTTATGGTTAATTATATACCATCTATAACCAATAGAAAGTCAATGTTTGCATCTATCAAATGACATATTATATTATGTTGTGTTCTGAACAGATAAATGTCAATTTCACTTATAATACACGGTTTATTCCCATGGAAACATTAACGACTAGCTTGGATGAACTTGAAACAGCTCTTGTTGCATAGTTAAAAAGCCAGAAAAATTTTGAGAGTTAGGAGAAATTGTCTACTTTTTGCATGTTATTAGTCTGTGTTTTTAGTGCATTATTTAATTATAAAATGTAATTATAAATAGATGTATACTGTTACGAGCTTAAAGCTACATAGGGTAAATGAATGTAGTTTTGTGTTACAATTTGAAGTCATTCTAGAAAGAAAAAAAAACGGTAATTTAGATTTGTTTTGTGGTTATGAGGTTGGTCAAATTGACTGATCCCATATAGAGATAGAGTAGAGAAAATAACAGATAAAAATACTTCACTAAAAAAATATTATATTTTGTATGTGAAAGACTTATAATGTTAACTGAAGACTGCCAAACTTGAAAGTTAGAAGTATTAAATGTATAAAGACTTTAAACGAATATGAAAGTAAATGTGGTCTGTCAAATTGACTGAGTCCATGTTGAGAGAGTTATAATGATCTAGAGCAGTCATATGTTTGTGTGTTTGGTGAACCATGAATAATCAAATTTTCTGTGTTTGGAAGACAATTGGTTGGTTTTATTTTTGCGGGTATAAGCGTATCCATGTTGGACGAACCTGCGCTGTAGGAGGGTTTACTGTAGTTGATTTGCCGTGTACAGTCCATTGCACTCTAAACCTAGGACACATCCTTTTAATTTTACCCACTTTTATATTTTCTTGGATAGAGTTGCATAAATATTACATGGTTCGGATCAACATCCGACCTTAGCTCTCTCCTACTTGTATGTGCTCCTCTGTTTTCTGCCCATATGTGCAACACCTTTCTATGATGGGTGAAGAGTATACCTGGTTCAAAAGTGGTGTGGTCTCCCACAACAGATATTAGAATCTGACTGTCTCCTCTTAGAGGGTGTTTTTCAAATGCTTTTGAAGGATACTTCTTTCAATGTGGAGGGTAGACGCATGATGATTTGCATGAGAGATGCATTGGAAGCAGTCAGTTCCAATGAAAGGGAGATAGAAGGCTTGCGGCATGTTGAAACTTTTTTGCATATAGATGGCAGCACTGAACAAGAATAGTTTTTTTTATGTGAGAGGAGGTAAGTACGTATCAGAAATACATTTTCAGTATAGGAAAATTATAACTTTTGTTGAAGTTAAGCTAGTGAAATAATATGAGAACATATGGAAAGTAATAGGGTGATAAATATTGTTTGGTAGCTAAATGTATGTGTTTAAAAAAGACAATTTTAGTCTGAGGGTGATTAGAAATGTCCAGAAATAGTAGCATACATGATACAGAGAAGGGAGGACAAGACATTTTATTCACATATTATATTGTACATGTATAGGACTCAGAAGATCAAACTGGAGCATTAAAAGCTGGGGCTTTCATGGCAGGGAGCAGTGGTGTAATCAAACAGGTTTGTTTCAGATGTTAAGAGTTTTATATATATATATATATGTGTGTGTGTGTGTGTGTGTTTATATATTTATATATATATATAGAGAGAGAGAGAGAGCGATATTCAGGATTGAATAAGGTATATAAAACAATTTTGAACCTTAACACGTCATTATTGATCATGCTCTATCTGACAACCATGCATCTTGACAATAGCCCTGCAATGTAGTTTCCATTGCAAAAGGCTGTCATACTTAAAACACTTCATTCTCCCAGCGTATATGAGAACGACAGTTTACCATTAACTGTTAAAACAGCCTGACCACATAGAAGTCCATAAGCATTGCTTCCATTGAATGAACCAATATGTCTTCTCATAAATACACGGAAGTCCATAAGCATTGCTTCCAATGAATTAACCAATATGTCTTCTCATAAATACACAGAAGTCCATAAGCATTGCTTCCAATGAATTAACCAATATGTCTTCTCATAAATACACAGAAGTCCATAAGCATTGCTTCCAATGAATTAACCAATATGTCTTCTCATAAATACTCATTTCATTCTCCAGTTGCTTGAAGTATATGATGATTAAATGGCTATTTCGTGGTAGCAACTTGTGTTGTTTTTCGTGATAGAGATCCTTCATGATTACGATGTGTGGATAGTTTTTGCCACTGTCTTTTGTTTTTATTGATTTTCACATGTTACAAGATGCCATACTTTGCTTATCATGATTGGTATATGACTTGTTTCAGGTCTCTTTCTGGATGATCCTGGTTCTCAAAGTTGAGCCATATTACGTTGTTTTCTAATGACATTATGTACAAGGGATATCCTTGTCTTAAAAATTCCATCCCCAGTTTAAAAACATGCATATTATCTAATTATTTAATTTCTGTAGTGCATATTGGTGTATAGAAGGCATTTTAATACTAGAAATATAACTTTGTACTGTCAGTTATGGTTTGTGTGTTTTAGTGTAACTCTCTTGAAGAAGCTGTAGAGCAAAACTGTGAGAGTCCAACTAAAGAAAAACAACAATGTGGTGTTATCAGGTCGTTTATTTCTAGTATTAAAATATCCATGTAATCTGAGTGTATGAATATTTTGCATCAAAAAGAACTGTTACATACCCTTCCTAAAAGCAGTCATATACCTATGAACTACTATATAATCAGCATGTTGGTATGTTATAATGTTTCCTTCAGTAACACAAACGAAACTGTTAAATTTTGTGATGTCAGTAAAAACATAGTTTTTGATACTTTTCAAATCATTATTTCAGTAACTAGAGAATTCTGAATCATGATTTGATTAAAAGAACCTCTCAAGTAAACCCTGTACTTTTTAAACACATTGCTTTATTTAAGTTAAAAGTACATAAAAATCAGCAGTGATCCAATTATTGTATTTTGTGTTCTGAAAGTAAAGCTATTCATTCAAAAAGACTCGGAATTATTAAAGTACTTTTAATTTGAACTTAAAATGTCTTTTTATCCAGAATGCATATTTTATTTCTAGGTATTAAAATTGTTTTGAAGCACAGACCTTATCTGAGTATTAGATATTCTGAGTTAAAGCTTAAATCATAATTTTCCAGCATTAGCATTTTCTAAACAGTTGTTAAAGTATTCATTTATTTTTTTAGGGATGGAAGAACTGTTTTCTGTCAATGCATTTGTTTTATGAAACATTGTTTTTTTTTGACAAATGTTTTTTCTTATTTTTGCTGTGTAATATCTATCACATTACTAAACAAAATTCTAAATAATAATATTAGAAAATTTTCACTTACAGTTTTAAGAGAAGAATTACATATGAAAAATTGTTGAATTTACACCATTATATCAAATTATATAAAACTAAAAACACTAATAAGATAAAAAAATATTTAATTTGTCAAAGTGCAAAATGGAATGTTTTGGATATATTTGACTTAATTAAATGACATTTTAATTTGCACTGCATTTAGTTTTTACATATTTAGGAGCAATTTTCTACTTAGACCGTCAGTTTGCCAGTTAAAGTAGAAAGTCATTCTTGAAGATGTAAAACTAAATGATGAGCAAGTTAATTTTTTTTAATGTTAAATGACATTATTTCAATCAGAAATAAATTTTATTATAAGTTACTAGGGAAATAAGTAGAGCATTTATCGAGAGCAGACTGTACTAAGTTAAAAGTTAGTGATATAAAAACTATAAAGACTTTAAACAAGTACAAAGAGGTCACATGGTCTGTCAAATTGACTGAGCCCATGTTGAGAGAGTTAATCTAGTTTACACCATGACAGTCCTCGTTCATGCAATTGATGGTATAGATAGTGCCTTGACCACTGTTATGTCTGTTGTATCCCAGCCGATCCAACAAGGTCTGGCAAAGGGCCTTGTCAGTACTGGATATTATAGTGTAGTGTGATTGACATATTATTACATTTTTTTCTTTCACTCATAACTTCTTAGAAATTACATGTAACTATTCAAATTCTTTTCATCAAATAATTATAAATTCCATTTTCATTTAAGGGTGGTATATCATATATATACTGTATCCTTATATGGTACAAACAACCCTACTTTCATTGGGATTTTATCACTACTTAGGAGAATTTTCTTGGTTCTCGAATCTTAGATAATGGTCCTAAAGACTAGTTCAGTATGAAATTCTTTTGCATGTCTTCTTGAACAAAGTAGTGTACTAGCATTGAGTGTTTATAAAACATACTACTATATCTTATTCATAGTTAATTTTTTCTGTGAAAGTAAATGATTTAGTTTTTGTAGTGGTCAGAGTGCAGAAAGCCCATTGTATAGCTTTGTGCTAAAAAAAACAACATGTATTGTTACATATATTTTAAAACAAATGTAGAGATTTGAAAATCATGAAAACTGCTTATTTTTTATAAACTTATCTTGTACTTTACTCAACTTCTAATATCTACCTTAAAGATTCAAACTGGGGAATTAACTGTTCAAGATTTTGACCACGTGGTTGCTCATATAGATATGTTAGCTGAACTAGGAACTATCAGAGGTCTTCTGAAAAAGTCTTTTCCTAACAGAAATAAAGGTACTGTGATTAATTATTATTTTTCGAATGTATAAGTTTAAAAATATTTTTTTATCACTAGGAATGAGTAAAGACTCTGCACTGTTGCTAGTTTCACAGTAATTGTATTTAAACTTGTCACAATAGTAGTTTAGTCCTTTCCTGTAATTGTTGTCAAAATATTTATTACTTTTTTGTTACTGTTGCTAGATCTACATAATAAATACTTTAAAGTTTATGCTGTCATCTAAAAAGTATTAAAATATGATGAATAATAGTTATGTTCAAATCTAGTAAAAAAGTATCTGGAAGTTTGATTGGTGTGATTTTAATATGCAAAGTACTTGCTGCACTTAGCCTATTTTTGTTTTCTTTTTTAACTGTGTTTCTATTACATTGTTTTGTGTTCCATTAAGAAAAATCTTATTTCATTGTATTCAAATAAGCTAAACATATCCACTCATTTTTTATATAACCAAAATACAATAATTTATTATAAAACAAATGTTTCAGTGTTATACATGTTGAACTAATTATTTTTGAATACATTGAAACTTATATACTTTGTTTATAAATCTCTAATACTGTTTTTTATCTGTTTGATGAATATATATGTTCCACTCTTTAAATTTTTTTAAATTAGGAATTCTGAGAATGATGTTTTTCATATTAATTTTTTCTTGTTTCCCTGAATAGGAAATCTGGGGACTGATATAGTACCACTTGTTGAACTTTTCGTACAAGGGGTAGACTACAAATCAAACAAAGATGAGCATGAACTAGATTTTGGTTGGGTGGATGTGCCTATTGGACGAGTAAGAGTTTTCTCTTTCTCTCTCAAAAAAAAAAAGATGTAAAGTATATCAGCTTCACCTGTTTCAGTATGTTTGGTAAAAGATTTATGCTAATCTTTCTGGTGCTGCCACAGTTTGTAATTAAAAACAAAACATCTCAGTAAATATTCAAGAACAATCCCTGTCTTTCTTACTGGAAGGTTCTAAATTTAAAACATTTTTCATGCTATGTTGTACTTGTTTACTCAGTATTGTTGTTAATGATGCTGCAATTTTCTGTGTTGAAGCCATATTTGTTTCTGAAGTGATTCAAAATGTGTTTGTCTTCTTTTTTTTCTGTGCTTACACACAGGTGAGATGATCTCAAAAAGTTTATAAAAAGGCCTAATTGTCAAGTTAGTGTCAAACATTCAGTGTTGGAGTAAAACATAAGCAATGTGGGCTATTCAATATAGAGGTGTACAGTACTTTAGTACATGAAACTCATTGCAACTATAACAAGGAGTGAAGCTAAGAATTCAAAGCTTCAAATTCCTGTTTTGTCTTGTGATTTGGCATGATGTGCATTTTTCAGAGTAGCTATAGTGAGTAAAACACTATATATTTTTTGCTTAAATTTATTATTTGCAATTCCTGTTATAGAAAAAATCAAATCTTCTCTAGAAAATTATTGGTCTGATGAGGGATTTGCAAGGCCCTGACAAATGTAAAACACTTGTAGAAGAAATGGAGATTCAAGATTCAGAGTGCAATTGCCAAAAGCAAAAAACATCTATGTCTGAATGTGAGGGAAGGGATAAACCCATATAAAAATCCAGTACAATAAATCAAAATCATTTTATACTGTTATTTTCAATTAAAATAGCACAATGGTCTATTTATTTTCATGTTAAAAAAAATTAAAAATGTGATTCCAAAACAATAACTCACCTTTGCATACAGTTTTAGTTGTCTTCCTCATCACATCATATGTCTGCTAGAGAGATTTCAGGCAACTTCACCTAATTTCACGTGAATTGCTGTATGATTATGTCATCATGTGACAAAAGCCCTCCAGAAATAGGAAGGTGACACACCTCCATGTGCAATAACTTCCACTATTTGCTTGCTTTTGTGAAACTTCATTCTTATCCTCAGCATTGTATTGTACATATGTGTTTACATTTATTACCTGTGTTCAGTTTATTGGGATTTGCATTGTTAATGAAACTTTGATTTTTGTTTCAAAAGCTTTAGTATTTTATCATGAGTTTTCAAATGATGATGATTTATACTTTATCCTGAGTGTGGGACATTGTTCACACTACTGATTTGCTTAGGGTAATACTTTACCATTCATTCAATAATCATAACCTTTCAATCTCTTTCTGGATTTCCTTCTCAAATATGATCCTTTCCATCTCTTTTGCCTGTGTTCTTTATTATTTTTCCTTTCCTCACTTTGTGACCCATAATTCTTTGGTTTATCATGTCTGTTTCTTATGCTTGTTATTAGGTTTTCTGTTTCAAATTTGATGACAAGAAACCCACTTTGAGACTAATAATGTACAGCAAATGTACGACGTTTCAACAAGGTTTTGTCGTCATCAGGTACAAGTAATATACACTGACACGGATATATATATACAGTATTGAACAAAGAGGTCA